GGGTAGGGGTTTAGGGTTTAGGCTTTAGGGCTTTAGGGTTTAGTAATCAGTCAGGTTTAGGCTTCAGGCTTTAGGGCTTTAGGGTTTAGGGTTTAGTAATCCGTAAGGTTTAGGGTTTAGGGTACACGCCCCCAAATATGCGTGTGTTAAAATTAAGATTACCCCAGGTATAACCCCACGTATAACTTCCCGCGAACCTCCAAGGAAGGATCCATATTCAGTACTCTTGTATGGGATACACGTAAACCCTATCCAACGCGAACCCCCTGAACCCTTGAACTCGTTAAGGCCAACGTGCCCTACTTTACGGGACGCTTCGAGGAAGGTGTCGGTTGGCTTCGGGCGCTCTTGAGGATCAAAGGACGTGGGTATTTAGGGTCTAGGGTTTTGTCAGGGTTCCTGATCCTAATTACAGTATACTGTATACTGCGTCCCAAAACCATGTTATAATTCTTCAGGCCCCTATTTTAACTTCATAGGAGTTGCCATTTAATGCATGTCTTTCTCAAACGTAGACTTAGCTTTTAACCTCCTTGGTATTACAACCCCTACAAAAACCAACAGGTGATCCCATAGTTCCCCGAGGATAGTAGTGCACGTGAGACGGCGGCAAGGACGACAGACGACGATGCAAGGATAACTCCACAGTCGCCAGCACACAGAGTCATCGCCATCATCAGCAACATCACCTTCATAATCATGCTTTTTCTACAGCTAGTAGCTGTTTCTTCAAGGCAGTTTCCCGATGCGTCTCGCAGATGTCAGCATTTGGAGCCTTCCTGGTCTTTGTTCTGCTTATTATTTGTGTCCTTTCCTTTGTGAACGTCAGCAAACCCAAACTCCTAAACCTTGAATCCCCAATTAGACCTCGAAGCCCTGATATCCAAAAACCCTAGGCCCTAGACTGTACTCCTAAGGCCAACAAGAGTCTGCTCCTTAAGCCCAGACCTCAAACTCTAAGCCCAAAGCTCCAGAGCCCTCAACCCTCAGCCCCTAGACCCTAACCCTTCCCCTGAACTCTAAACCTTAAACCCTAAACTCCTTAAACCCCTAAACCCTAAACCCCAATCCCTAAACCCCGAAACTCCCAAACCCTAAAGCCCAAACCTAAAACCCTAAACCCACAAACCCCCAAACCCTAAACCCTCAGTCCCAAAGCCCCGAGTTCCTAGAAGACTAAAGCCTACCTAGACCCTAAATGACCTACCGCTTAAGGGCTCCTGGTATTAGATGGGTAGTTCTCTAAATTAGAGTCCCTCTCAGGGTCTCTTAAAATGGTGCCGTGCTATTAGATGTGCTATATTTGGGAACAAGAAAGGGACCCTAAAGAACAAAAGCGCACATATGATCTACAGTACTTAGACAAATCTTGAAAAACATGTAGGTTCTTTAGGGTCCAGGTAAACCCTACACCCTAAACTCCTAACCTCCAAAGCCCTAAACTCCTAAAGCCCTAAACCGCTCGTTGGAGGCTACAGCCAGGGCAGCAGCTCCAGGGAGTGGGAAGACCAGCGTCACCACGCCAGGCCCGATCACGAACCCGAAAATGGACGGTTTCGGATTGAGGGGTTATTCCTTTCAGGGTCTTTTTAGGGAGGTCTAGGAGCCCCACTATAGGAATTCCTTTTCAGGGGTTTAGGGTTTAAGGTTTCGTGCTTACGGCTTCTATAAGGGGGGTCAGATTTGAGGTGTTTGCATTTCGTACGTCTTATTACGATTACTGTTATCCGAACCCTGCTGGTTCGAGGATATACTCCTTACTCCTTACCAGCAATGCAAAAAGGGTTCCTTGAAAGGTAGAGCCCTAGACTACTGTACTTCAGATCCGAATCTCTAAAACCCTGACCGTTGAATCCCGCTGAAGTGTGTTAACAAGTTTGTCTAGTCAGGCATTTGGGATGTTGTCCCTCATGGGGCATGGGAGGTTCCTTGTTACTTTTCCACATTCAACCCTAACTCGTAAACCCTAAGCCCTTGTCAGTAAAAGAGCACCGGCTCCTGACCCCTGCAACTTCCGAAACTAAAATCGACCTCAGCCCGAGGCCTCCAAAAACCTCAAGCACATTGCCCCTGAAACCCTTAAACCCTTAAACC